GGCTTAAAAAGAATAAGTGTTGTGCTGGAGCAAAAAGGCATGAAGTTAATATTCCTGTAAAAGGAAACTATAAAGGCTTGGCAATAGGTGAGGGTATAAGGTGCCTCTGCTTGGAAGCACAGAGAATAATGCTATTAACAATAATACTGACGTAAAGAACGTTCCTTTGTTTTTTAAACGACTCATTCAGAACTTTACATCCACAAAAGTGTCTGGGGGGAATCTGCACATCTCCTAGAATAGCTCATTAGCCAGGGGATTTTATTCAGCACAAAATTAGCACATTTTAGTAATCACATCAATTCAGTTAGTAACAGGGAACAAAAGAAATTCATCTGTATGTTTTTTAATGCAAGCCTTTCCAATCAGGAGCAATAAATGTGGAGAAGGCCATAGTGATTCACAGATATTCAGAGAGTATTCATTCTGCTTTTTTGTGACAGAATGATGATGACTGAAGCCATCTATGTGACAGTGCAGTTATGGGATCCATGAAAAACATGCCTATAACTGATATTAAAATAATAGAAAGTTGATGGTGCTTAGTCCTGCTTACATTACTAACACAGGTGAAATCCAGGTCTACTGAGTAAACTGAGCAACATATGGCCTCTGCTATTTTTGATCTGTTCTATTCAGGTGCTTAAACCAGATCTATATCATATCTGAGCTCTAGAGACTGCAGGCTGCTTCCTTTGCTATGCTCTGGGACAATTGAGCATATCATACTCATAATTTGTAACATCGGTAGCTACAAATGGCACATTTTACCATCGGTGTCAGGGCAGAAGGGCAAACAGTTTAGGCATGTGAATAACTCATTTACTTTACAAATTAAGGCTTTACATTACAGTTGTTCCAGATTTCCTGCTTTGGCTTATTAACACCTATGCAACTGGTGCTTTGCTTTGCACATCCCTTGGAGTCCCTAACCAGTGCTCTCTTTTGGTTTGTGTTTGGCCTATTTCCATTATCCCATGGTGACAAGAAGAGTAAATGGAAGGAAGTGATATGGCTGCTATGCTGTGGTACAGCTGGTGTGCAGAAAGTCACACCTGTGAATATATCTGGTGTGTGTTTGAGGAGTGTAACAGCCACAGGAAAGCTATGCTTTGGCCACTGTAATGAAAAAGGTCTGAGCTCAGTGGGAGGAAACATCCTAGAAATCTTCAGCAGATGCCATATGCAGTAACAGGTTTGCATTTTAGCTGCATTTAAAGAAATTAAGATAAGTCAGAACTAAACTGCTCTTAGGCAAACTTTACCTTAAAGATAACTATACAATGAATGAATAAATGAGTAGCTTAAAAAGGCTGATGACATCATGAAAGACAGGACAGAAGATGACTTAGGGACTGAATGTATGCATGACACTGATAAACATAGTACTGAGTCTAAAAGAGAATGTTCAGGAGGTGAATTGTTGAATGGAGGATTAAGTACAGGCTAGGTGAATAGTATTGATGACTACATACGGTCAGTAGATTGCCCAGGGGGACACTTTTTGCCTGGCTGTTGAAAATAGCATCACTGCTCATTGCAGCTGAGGCCTCACTTCTTGTAAATGACTTCAGACATAACAGGATTAGTGAGACCACAGCTTCATAGTCAGGTGAGGCTATGTTTGTCGCTCAAGATTCTTCTATTGAGCCTCTGCAAACCCATCTAGCTGAGTTAACTAGGTTCTCTGGCCAGCTGTATGGTTAATGAATACAGATGATTAATGCAATATTTTTGCTGCAGCAGCAAGCTCTGGAAATTAGCTTATTGTGAAAGAAAACAGGGCTGCTTTTGTTGTGAAAAAGATGCAGAAACACCACAATGAGCCTCTCTATTCTATATAATCAGCTCACATATTCAACTAGTATCATATGACTGAGCAGCATTAGACAATTCCAATTTACTTGGCTATCAACAATAGTAAAATGAACAATCCATCTCAAAGCCTTTGTTTCCTCTCTACTCTTAGGGTTACAGGGACCACAGACATCTCCATAAGCAGTATGCTATTTTAAAATCATTTATTCCCTACTCATGATAAATATTACAATTGTCCCTAGATAATACACAACTGGGACTGCTGTTCAAATTCCTCTCTAGCATTTTACCAGATTAACTGTTGTCTTCACCTGACATCCACAGCTGCAATGTATAATCAGAGTGGGGAGAGCAGAAATAACAGAGGCATGGGGATAACTGTGCTTGTAATGTACTGAGTTGTATTTTGGTGTTTGTAAGATACTATTTGAAATGTTTCAGTATATATGTGTGGTGTTTTCATTGCTGGCTATGGAAAATATTGGTATTAATTAAAAATATTACTTATAAAACCCCATCAAAGTCATAACCGAAAACAAGGGATTTCACAGCTAAAGGGGCAACAAAAAACTTTGGGCTGGAGTCTGGCTCTTTTCACTGCTCTTGTAGGCAGCAGACATGTAAACAGCCCTATAGGCCCCCTTATAACCACCAGCTCAGAGAGCATTCTGGGAGTTGGAGGTGCATCCTCATAGCACATAAGGCGGTGGGGATTCTCAGCTGCTGTGGAGTGACCCAAGGGCAGCTCGGAGGGGGGGGCACCACAGTCCCTGATGAAACCCAGAACAGGGAAGGTGCCAAGCTACCTTTGCCCCCCCACCACATGGATTGCATGCTCTGGGCTGCACCTCCTAGAGGCACAGCACCATGTCCTTTAAACACTGCTTTGACTCTTTTCCTTGAGCCATCAAATAGCCCCTTTCCATTTAAGGACTAAATTCTTGCTAAATTACTTTTAAAATGAAGAAAACAGCTTTTTTTAGACAGAAGCCAAAGAGAAAGATAAAGCCTAAATCTGTATCACCCTCACTACAAGGCAGGTGATTTTAGACCCCAATTTACCTTCATCCCAGACCAGTCTATTATCATGCTCTCTTTTTACTTTAGCAATTTGACATCAGAGGAGCTGAAGCAGAATAAAAGAACCTTCCCTTAATGCCCCACCTACATAATTTCACGCTTCTTTGTTACATGGGCCTTTGTCATATATTATTAGGCAAGTGTCACACATTGAGGTCCTAAAGGGTTAAGAGACACTACAATATCTGTGGGGGAAATAATCCCAGCTGGCTGTCAACCTGTTTGGCAGCGTTTGTCTTCCAAAGAATTTTTTTCAGCAAAGCCCTTAACCTCTGAAAGTACACTGTGTTCATGAGTTGCTTACCACCTCTGCTGCATCACAAGCTAATCAGTACTTCTCCAATTTACATGTTCCTCACAGCTGCTGTGGGAACACTCTGCTTTTGGTGACTGCTTTAAACTTTAGAATTAAATAGAATTTGGGTGTGGGAACTCTGCTGGGGGAGGGGAGACTAGATGCCGTGTAGGAGTACAAATTGAAAGAACAGCTTTAGCAAAGTAGCTGGGACAGTGTTAAGGGAAATCTTGCTCTACTGTTAAATATTTGTGTATTTGACAGTTTTGTAAGCTTACACCTTTTCAGTACTTTCAGATCCTTACTTGCTTTTGGGTGTTCTTAACCTTTAAGCTAAAATACTATTTAGTATTAAATATAAAGAACACTATATTACAGCCCAAGTCCCCAAGCTGGCATTAACTTCTAAAAAGAAGGTGAATTATAGCACTGTAAGAGGTTTCTTAACCTCCAAACCCTAAAGTGACTTCATTAACAGTGTACAGAGCCATAATGATATAGCCCAGTGCTGTGGCTAGCAATATGCTACCTTTTGAATTATCTGATGCATTCCATTCTTTAAAAGAGTTTCATAATTCTCATTTTCAAGGAAGTGTGTGAACATTTGGGGAAAGCACAAGGTTAGGGGAAATTTAATGTGGCTGACTTCTTAGAGGGACCACTGCCCCACACCCATCATAGTGACAGAGTGCTCATGTCCTTTTGAAGTAGATATCATTTCTGCACTGTGATTTTCTTCACTGACATTCATGTGGTTTGGTTGTGTAAGAGAGTAGCTTCTTGCCTACAGCCTTGGAATTTTGTATGCAGTTTTTAAACAAAATTAGACAAGCCCAAGCGAGATAATTACCCCAGACAAGGGGATGTCATAGAATCACTCCTTCACAAACCATGCAGAATGCAGACAAGCATAGTACAGAAGCAGTTTCAACAAGGTTTTTTTTTTTTTTTTGGGGGGGGGGAGAGGGGAGGGAGATTGCAAAAAGTGTATATTTATTCAGCTCCCTTGCACTTTTCTTCTCAATATTAAATTTTACCCTGGACAACACCTAAACTTTGAACTTCAAGAATCAACCATTCCTACTCCAACTATTACATGGGGAAGGGTGATTACAGATACTCAAAGACCTCCATAAATCTCACTTCTTTTATGAAGTGAGGCATCTCAACACATACACAGTTGGCCTCCCCATTAAAATAAAACCAAAAAGTTACACTCCAGTACCCTGCTCCTATTGATTTATAGGGGAACTGGAAAAAAATCCAAATACAGACTTATCCTTAGTATATTCTGTTTCATTTCCATTTCTTTAGATCAGAGGTAGGCAACCTATGGCACGCGAGCTCATTTTAGGCGGCACTCACACTGCCTGGGTCCTGGCCACCGGTCCGGGGGGCTCTGCATTTTAATTTAATTTTAAATGAAGCTTCTTAAACATTTTAAAAACCTTATTTACTTTACACACAACAATAGTGTAGTTATAGACTTATAGAAAGAGAGCTTCTAAAACCGTTAAAATGTATTAGTGGCACGCAAAACTTTAAATTAGAGTGAATAAATGAAGACTCAGCACATCACTTCTGAAAGGTTGCCGACCCCTTCTTTAGATTATATAGTACCTGGGACAGAGAGCATGTCTGTCTTTGTCTGCGAGCACCACCAATGTTACTGGACCAGCTCCTCAGCTAGGGGTAAATCAGTGAAACTTTGACTTCAGTGGATTACTATGATTTACCCCAGCTAAGGACTTGGCCCATTGTCAACTCCTAACTGATAAACACAGCGATCAGAAAGACACCAGGGATGCTATTTTTTAAAAACTTTCACAATAAAGTTTATTACATTATTTTCATTAGAAATATTATAAAATAGAATATTCTGCCCAGCAGAAAAATAATGCCAGAGTTTAAAAACCCTGGGTTTGTGCAAACAGTTTGTGTAAACATAAGAAGTCAAGTGTTCAGGTTCCATCACAAAATACAGTAAGTTGCTACAAATATAAATTTGGTCACTCCCAAATAGATTAAAAAACCCAAATGTCTTCACACATCTCTCTCTCTCTCACACACACACATGCGCACAGTTAATGCTGTATTTATATCTGAAATGGGAAAGATTTCAGGTAGTCCTTTAAAACTGGATTGAGAGGGATGTGGTTTAAATTCTCTCTCCCGAATGTTGCCACAATGCTTTTCCGGCAGAGCTCCTGCAATGGCCGTAAACGGACTTTGCGTAGTGGGGTGACCAGCACCTTCCTCGGGGAGCTTATATAATGTTCCAGTAGCTTAAAGAGACAGTCGAAACTCTCCTTGCTGCCATCCAGGCTGAAACGCCCAGCCTGGAAGTTTATTCGGATGCTGGTGGGCCCAGTAGCAGTCTTAACACTGATGGCAAAGAAGCAATTTTTTTGTCTGCTGTCCCTGATGAGGAAGGTGCCCTCAGGCTCAGATTTCAGCTTCTCGTGGGCTGCGCTGACAGTCAGTGGACCCCAGTAGAAGCCACATGCATCCAGCAGGGCACTCGCTCGGGTGATGCTACTGAAATCCGCCTGTGAGCGGAAAGTTCGGAAGTGTGTGTCGCTCTGTGCCTGCCCAGTGTTGGACCGAGCCGGGCCATGGTAGCCTCTAGGCCGAGAATGATCCCGTGCTGGAGGGTCAAGTCGACATCTCGGGTCTGCTGCAACTGCATTATCTGCTGCCACCTTACTGTGCGCTACCATCCTATAGACTAGACCAGCGGATGCGGTCTTCCATAGCGTCAGTGGCCAGGGCAATGCAGCTCTCCAGCGGCTATTCTGAAATTCCAAAAGAAAAGAAAATATTAGATCCTCAATCTGCGTAAATTAAGTGACAGTCTTCCATTGACACCCCTCTGCTCCCTTATAAAATGAAGCCCTTACTCTGTAAATTTACACCCAGCAAACAACTGATTAACAGCATCACTTTCTGGCTAGGTTAGCAATCCATTGCTCTTGCAACATCTGAAGCTCAGAAATATCCAGCCAGGGAAACAGTTACAAATGATGCGGTTTTCCTACTATTAGTCATAGAAATGCATCAGACTCTGGATCGAGTTGACTGATGGGAATCTCTTTTTCAAAGCTTACTTTCTATGTATATCCTTCTCCATCAATTCCTTAACCTTGCATAAAACCACTTATTATAAACTACTGATTTGCTCTCTTCCTCCTCCCATTTCCCAGATGTAGATGTCTGAACTCAGACTGTATTGTTCTTTGCATTATGTGGAAAAAAAAGCATGGCTAAAGGAAAGGTAAACTCTGCAGCTGGGTACAAATCCCCAGACAGTGGATGGCATTGGCTGAAATGAATGGGTGGCATTGTGTGATTCAAACGTGATTGGCAGTGCAGTTTGTAACACTACCAATTTACACATAATTCTAAATCTACTCTCCGTTCTTCAATAAACTGGAGAAGCAGCCATAGAAGTCCACTTCCCATCCCTTGTTCCACCCCCCAGGGATAGCAATGTTACCACCTCACTAAGCCTACACAAAGCAACCTCTATGAACTCTTAAAGCATTATTCCCCTCTCTCTCTCTTTTTTGTATTGCATGCACTTTAAGTGGCCCAATCTAAATTGCTTCCTATTGATATATCTTTCAGCACCAAGGGCCAAATTCATCCCTGGAGTAATTCTTTTGAAATAAGCATTGTTGTACCAGCAATTAATTTGGCCTCAAACGTCTACCCCGACAGCATGGTTCGATACATCTCTGCAGGCTGCCTTGACCTTACTGGAAAGCATAGATTTTAGGATTTATCCCTACAGTCAGTTATAGATCTGCACTGGCAGACTGTTGAGAAAGCTTGAGGCATTCTCAGAAGTGAATCCCCACAGCTGTCTCACAAGTACACAGCAACATGCGGACATAGATGCAGAGACAGCACTTAGCTGGATTCCTGTCTCTGTGAATGTGACAGCCGGACATTTGAGTTTAGTTTCATTTAGATCATTTTACTGACTGAAATAGCAATCATAAAACCCTGACATTAGCAGATAACTTAAAACAAGCAAAGTATGGTTAGGTTTTCCTTGTATGGCACATGAAAGAAACCAAGGTCAGCTTTTCTAATCATTGGGTGAGGATCGCTATTCAGCATTCAAAGTTTAAAAAAAAAAATCAAGGCACTCTGAAGGGTGGATGGCTTTAGGTTTAAAACAATAAGATTCTCTAGAGTAAACCATTCACCTCCAGGAGAAACAAAACTTTTTTTTTTTGGGTGGGGGAGGAGGAGTTCTATGCACTTCACTGCCGGTAAACTGGAAAACACAGCTGCTTTCCTGTGCCTCATTGCAAGGTCCCAAGGCGGTTTTTCCTACGAGCAGAGGTTTTGCCCTTGTGGCCTTGGCCAAAGTTTCCCCATCCCGGCCCAGCTAATGCTGGTTTGTCAGTTCGCCGCTGCGCTCTACCCCAGAGGTAACAGCTTTTCAATGATGCCGCAGGACAGACACGTCGCAATGGGTTTGGGAGTCCTTTTGGCAAGCAAGGTGTTAGCTAGAGACTCAGCGATGTGCAGTATTATTATGATTCTGCTACCTTGTATTCCACCGATCTTTAGCGCTTTAAAAACCCCCAGCGTTGTGCAGGTTCGTGAGTTCTTGCGTCAGGGCCAGAGATCATTCGCCGCGCTTGGAAACTCCTTGAACGCTTCTCGCTGGAAGCGGACTAGGGCTCGCTGCGCTCCAGGCTCGGGGACACCAAAGGCTGCGCGTGGAAGCCCGCTCGGGACCTAGCAATGGCTTACAAAGACAGCGTCCCTTACCTTCTCTGCCCTGAGCCGCGGGGATCAACGCTGCTCCTTGAACGGGCACGGGGCACCATAAACCCCAGCTGCGAGCACGGCCGCCTTGCAAGCCCGTAGCCCCCGCGCGGCAGTGGTGCACTCGTAGGCCTGGCCCCAGGAATAGCACAACCATAATCTGCCAGCGAGTCCTGCCTGGCGCCTGTAGCAATCCCAGCCTGCCAGGGGCTGCGCGGCGCGCTGGAGCCGGACTGCTCTGCCTCCGCTCATCGCTCGCAGTTTTATGGCTCGGGCTCAGCTCCCCGGGCGGCTCCTCCCTCCCCTGCTGGATTCGCAGAAAACACGTGGCCGCTCACTTTCACTTTCCATCTGCGTCAGGCGGCTGCAGCTCGCGAGGCTCCGGCCGGCGGCCGGGCGGGGGAGGGGCGCCAGCCTATTGGTTTCGCTTCCAGGGAACCGCAAGTGTCAGTTCAAAGGAACCCTGGCGCGGGCCCGGAGCAGCCCGCCCCGCCCCGCCTTTCCTCAGAACAGCCGCGCCCTGGGCGCTCCCGCGAACCTGCCTCGCGCCGGGCCCGGGCCGCGGCTGGCGGTAGCCCGGCTCCTGGCGCGCCTCGGAGAGCCGCGGCGGGACTGCGTCCTGTCAGCCCCGCAGAGGCCCGGGGCTGTGGGGGCGCGAAGCCTCCAGTCCGGAGCCCTGCGGGAAGCGGCCGCTGCAGGCAGGTTGGCCCCCGCCTGTGGGCGGTGCAGCGCAGGGAGGGCTCCTGGGCAGCCTGCTTAGGCATCCTAAGCCTCTGGCCATCATCACCCAGCCTCTTGCTCCGTAATAAAGGTTGGGGGGGGGCTCGCCTCCCCTCCCCCCCCTTTGCCTCGTGGCTCTGGGCAAACAGGGCTCCCAGTCGCCAGTAAGAGGTGGCTAAAATCATGTTGGGGAAACTGAGGCAGGAGGAACCGCTGGAGGGGGAAGGGTGGCGGGACAGTAACGCACCAGAGACTGGTAATAGAGATGTGTAGCGACGCGAGGGCCAGGCAGCTGGTGCAGGCTATGAATGTACTGGGGCGAACACGGGAGCAGAAGCCAAGAAAACAAAAGCAACCCGCTGGGGTGGAACTTCTAGTGTAAGGGCAGAGGGCTCCTCAAAGGTAGCTGGTCAACAGGGATGCCCTGGTGATTAGCACTGAGAGTTATTAATTAATTATTAATAAAAGTAATGTGTTAAATGCCGTCCAAAATGTGAGGCAATCAGGCAATATGTGTATAATAAAGAACACAATGGCAAACCTGGGGTAGTTTTCTCCGACTCCCAATAGGAGATTTGGAAATCCTCTTTGAAACCTTGTTTTAGCTGCTTGCCCTAAACTATGCCAAAGTATGTCTGTTCCCTGAGCAGGCTCGGCTGAACTTGAGCTCACCCTGAGCAGGAGCTTTTTTAAGTTACTAAACAGCACCTGTTTAAATGGCAAGGATACCTTTGTTTATTTCAAACCTGACTATGTCCCAAATGCCAGCTCACCCACAGTCTTGCACAGAAAGTGAGTCAGCCAATTGTTAGTTTTCATGAAAGCAAGGAGAACACAAGTATTTGACTGCAATTTCTGCAGGCAGTGCCAGCTCCAGCTTTTTTGCCGCCCCAAGCGGCGAAAAAAAAAGAACAACCTGATCAAGCTGCCGCAGAAGTGCCACCGAGGAGCAGGACAGCGAGTGAAGGACCCTCCGCCGAGTTTCCACCGATCCAAAGCGGGCCGATTGAGCTGCTACCGCCACCGATCCGGACGGTGCTGCCCAACGCATTACCGCCCCTTTCCATTGGCCGCCCCAGGCACCTGCTTCCTTTGCTGGTGCCTGGAGCCGGCCCTGCCTGCAGGCTACAGCTTGTTTCTCCCATATGTTTTGTGGCTTTGTACAATGAGAGGTAGAAATTATGAAGACACCAGTCCTCTATGCTGAAGATTTGGGTTGAGTTTTGCACTTAAAGCAGAGTTTTAACATCTTTGATACATATGAAAACTACAGCACATCCTCCACAAAATAAAGCGCTTACTCTATGAGCACAGAATGAATAAACAGTGATCTTTCATGCCTGCAGGGTGCACATGCTTTGGGATGTATGCTTTCCGTCTGACAGAGGAGCCTGGTGTTCTGAGGTGGCTGTTACCTGTTGTGAGCAATCGCGGGAGTGAGATTTTTTCCCCCCTTAATGGTAGCTGTGGTCTTCTGGGACCATACAAAAGTATGCTTTCCGTCTGACAGAAGGGTGCTGGTATCACCCATGAATTCCTAGTCTGGGATCAATTTAAGGGAATGTGTTTTCTGCTTGTTCTTGAGTGTTAATATTCCTTTCAAAGTCCTTCCCCATCACAGGCAGGAGTAACATGATGGTAATGTCATGGTTTGCAAAGAATTCAGTGTTAAACTTGTAGATTCACACTGTGGTATTTAGACCTTGATCTTCAAAGGCATTTAGGCAACTAACTCCACCTGAAATAATTATCTTTGAGGATCTGGGCCTTAGTTACCTAAAGAGGCTCCTGGTGGTTTTGTTCCATATTTGGATGGTAGATATAACAAACCAACTCAGTATGAATTGTATGTATTGTAATCAAATATACAAATCATCCTCTTCCAAAGAATTTCTGAGCAATTGAGCTTCATGTTTGCTTTTTGTGAATATTCATGCTAGTGAAGCTCAAGTGTGTGAATACTGTGGAAAGTGAATGCAAAAGTATCAGGAACATGGTGAACTGAAATTTTCTTTTGAATTTGAATATATGTTAGTGGAAATTGGTTTGCATTGTTTTCTTAGCTGCAGTGAGCACAGTCATCACAACTGAGCTGATCTATTGGGTGACCGTGGCTGAAGATTATCTTTTATTTGTATTGTGGTTGCATCTAGAGTCCCCAGCCAGTATTAGAACCCCATTGTGCTAAGTGCTCTATGAACCTATATAGTAAGACATGGTCCCTGCACCAAAGAGCTAACAATCTAATTAGACCAGGCAGACAAAGGACTTGAGGGTAAAGAGATGTGAAGTGACTTGCCCAGCCCCAGGGTCATACAAAAGGTCAGTAGTAGAGCTCAGATCTCCTGAGTCCTAGCCAATGCCGTATCCACATTACCATGGAGCATGGAGTTGGAGTGTTGCTTCTCATTTCCCCTCAGGTATGGGGCAGCTTTTGCATTGCAGCCATCATGCAGCGTAACAGGAAAATGTTACAAGCATCTTCCAATTGCTATAAAAGCTATATGCGGCTAGCTATAGGCAAACAAGATCAGGTGAGAGGAAGGGGACAGCTGCTTAGCTGCTGTGTTTTTTTTCTGCTGCAGACTGCAGGGAAAAAATCCCTGGTGTGCATGTGTAGGTACATCATCAGGCACTGGGTAGAACAGCAGGCTAAGGTCTCTCCAGGAGGGAAACAAGAAGGACTGCCCAAAAAGGTAATTCAGGTCTCGTGGCTCAGCAGGAGGGAATGTGGAGGTCACAGTTGGTAGCTGTGGGTCAGAGCTGGGTGAGGCTCAAAGAAGCAACAGAACTGGTCACTCAAGTGGGAGGAAGTGACATGAGTGAGTGTATAGGCTTGGACATTGTGAAAGCCATAGAGAGCTGCTTCCTGTGAAAGTTGGCAGCAGCCTTAGGTGATCACAGCTATACCCCAATAGCCTTGAGGGGAGGTAGTCAGAGACCCTGTGGTGCCCTCCGAATTGTTGATGATACTCTCCTATGTGACAGCCTATGGTGGATATTCATTTTGTATAGTGAAGAGCTATTAAAACTGGATGGAGATTATTCCTTCCTGACAAAGTGTTGTAGGGGGACTATTCCACTCTGGATGGAGGAAACATTACAAAATGGGCAGAGTGGCCACAGTGATGGTCATGCCACCTCACCCTATATGCTCTTTAGAATTCCTGGGGATCCTCATTCTTTTAATCACCCCTGCCTCCCAGGATCCCTCCATCATTCCTCCTTCCTTTGTTCCATCTCCTCTTCCCCCACTCACTCTTTCCCTCCCACAGAAGGTGACCAGATATTTAAAATGAAAAACAGACTACCAGAATTTTGTTGTTTGGAGAGAGGAGTAGAGAAGATGCTCATGAGAGGGTTTCGCCTGCTGGAGTGGACAAGGTCATATTTCACCCACTAGAGCAGAGGTTCTCGTGACAAATTTTTTGTTGGCTTCAGAGTGCGGCCATCAACTCTTGCTGGTGGCCGCACTGACACTTTTCCCTAAAATTCTTAATTAATTTTAGGAAAAACAAATAAATATGCATGTATACACATCCAGCTCATTGTAATTTATTTATGTAGGGTTGTTTTTTTTTTTTTTTTTTCTAGCTAAATAAAAATAATGCCGTGAAAAGTGGTATTTGTATGTTAGTTAATATCACTTTTCACAGCAAGTCCTGGTAAGTTAAGACCTGGATGGGGGATGAGGCCGTTGGGGTCTAGGAAGGATGGATGGGGGGCCCTGCCACCTCATGGTTGGAGGTATGGGTCGGTGCATGGGGCTGGGTGTCTGTGCCCTAGGCCAGCACCCACTGGAGCTCAGGGTTGGCGCCCACAGTTTGGCAAGGGCTGGGGATCGGCACCCACTGCCATGCAGCTGGGGGTCAGCACCCAGAGCCGGCATCTGCTGCTGCGCAACCGGGACTGGAGGTCGGCGTCCAGGGCCAACACCTGCTGGAGCCTGGGGTTGGTGCCCACTGCTGTATGACCAGGGCTAGGGATCTGCACCCAGGGTTGGTGCCTGGGCCTGGGGATCAGTGCCTATGACCAGCACCTGCTGGAACCCAGGGTTGACATCCAGGAGCAGTGCCTGGGGTCAGGGGCCAGGGCTGGGCGTCGGAGCATGCGGCCGGGGTTTGACTGCCACCATGGTTTGGGGCTGGCACTTGGGGTCTGCCACATGGCCAGGGCTAGGGGTTGGCATCCAGAGCTAGCACCCGCCGGAGCCCAAGGCCAGCGCCAGGGATCTGCACCCAGGGCCGGCAGCTAGCTGGAGCTCATGGTTGCTGGCCAGCGGCCAGGGCTGGAGGTTGGAGTGCATGGACTGGGGTCAGCACCTGGGGCCAGTGGCCACGGACGAGATTTGAAGTTGGTACCACACGGCTGGAGCCGGGGATTGGAGCCCACCACCGCCGCGCAGCCAGGGGTTGGCATCTGAAGCCCCATGGCTGGAGCCCTAGTCTGCAGCCAGGCTCCCTAAGTCCCCGCCGCTCCGAGCCCCACTATGCCCCTCATCCCTG